GTGCAGAAGGGTGACTTCCCATGGAGATTCCAGAAGGCTCTGGGGAGTCTGGCCAACCAACTGGCCCCAGGGTAGACACAGAAGCCAGCCAACAGGCGTCGCCCACTGGGCCTGACCTCGGGCTGCGCTGCACCGGCCTTCCCTCTGAGCATGTGGTCCCGGCACCCGGCTCTGCTGTCTAGAAAGGCTGGAAACATGACCTCGTGTTGAGTCTCCTGTTTTTCGAGTGGCTGTGGCCCAAGTAAACCCGTCCCATGAGCCCATCCACAGGACACGGTTTGTCACATGGGTGTGGGCTTTTCTCCGTGCGGGAGCAGTGATCTGGGTCCAGCCACGCCGGCAGTGAGTGAGGCACTGTGTAGGGTGCACACCCGGAGCCGTTCCCTGCCCTTGGGCGGTGCTCACTGGGGGAGAACCCAGCAGGTGCTGTTCCCGGCTATTTCCTCACGTGCCACATGTCCTGTTGCCAACCCTGAGCGCACGCCCGCTCTTGGTGTGACCACAGCTTCAGGCGTCCAGTGTCCTGCTGGTTCCGTCGACCCTCAGCCTCTTGTCACTCACCCAGCCCCTTCCCTACGCGCCCTCCTGGGGCGAGTCTTCACCTGGGGCTCCCGTGGTCCCACGTTCCCTCTCAGAGGTCCTTCCACACAGGGTGAGCTGTCCCCGGGGCTGGGTCGTCACGACTCTCGCCAAGATCCTGGCGTCTCTCCCAGCTGCCTGGCTGCACGGTCCTGGGGTCTCCCTCCTCTTCCGGGAGCCTCAGAGCCTCCGTGTCACCTCATCCTCCACCCAGGCCTGCTCAGCCTCTCGATCGCCTGCAGGTGCCGTCGGGGTGAAAGCCTGGGCCTGGGGCAGCTCCTGGCTGTGCCCCACACACCTTGGTGGCCTTGGACGGTGACTCGGGTGAGGGTGCAGCGGTTCTTATAGACCAGGTCAGGCCGCCACCTCCTTCCTCACCTCTGGGCCTGGCCCAGCCTCGCTTCGCCCACCTCCTACTCCCACCCTTGGGGTGACCCACACATGTCACAGGGCCCGTCTCTCACCCGGTGTCCCTGTTTCCCGTCCAGCCCTCGTTCCCTGCAGCTTGGAGCCCACAGTCTGAGTCTTCTCACCTCTCAGCAAGCACGAGAGGGGCCTGCCACGGCGGCCTCTACGTGAGAGTGGAGGTGGTCGTCACTGATGATGGAGGCTAGCTTCGTTTACAGATGAGGTTGTTCTGCAAAGCCCTCAGCCTGGGTAGACCCTGCTGCCCCTCTTACGCCTGCACCGAGCAGCCGAGGATGCCGGAAATGTGCACAGTGGCGCGGCCTGGCCTCGTGTCCGAGGGTCAGCCTCAGGTGGGCGCCTCTTGCTGCCTAGCGGCCTCCCAGTGAGTCCACCGTGCCATCCCCAGTGACTCTCCATGGTTGTTGTGTGTTTCTTGTATTTTCGGTTCGTGTGTTTGTTTTTTGAGTCAGGGTCTCATTCCCACCCAGGCTGGAGTACAGTGGCATGATCATTGCTCACTTCAGCTTCGACCTCCTGGGCTCAGGAGATCCTCCTGCTTCAGCCTCCTGAGTGGCTGGTACTGCAGGTGTTACCACCTCACCCAGACAAGGTCTCGCTCTGTTGCCCAGGCTGGCTTTGACCTTTTGGGCTCAGGCGATCTTCCTGCCTGGGCCTCCCAGGTGGCACGCACCATCATATCCGGCCCATCTCTTCTTGTCATCTCTGGCCCAGCCTCTCTGCCCTGTCCCCACACTCACTTGGCCTGTGTTTGTTCACGCTTAAGAAGATAAAGACATCTGCTGTGGCCTCCTCCTGGCCACAAAGCCTGTGCATCTGCCTGGACCGGGCCTGCGGCTCCTTACCCGGAAGCGGGAGAAGCCTGGACCCACCCTTGTGCTGTGGTCTGTAGTCCTCGCCCTGGGGTCCCTTCCCCCCTGCCTCCCTTACCAGCCTCATCCTTTCGGCAGGGTTGCTCGGGGGCTCTCCGTCACCCACAAGGCGTGGGCCTCAGCCCTGTGTGAGGATAATAGGCCCTCCCTCCTTTGTCTCCTCCCGCCTCCCAGGAACCTGACCCCCACCCTTCCCTGAGACACGGGATGTGCCGACTTAGAACACTGGCTGGAAACTTGGTCAGGGTACCCTATGCGGATTTCACTGTGGGGACATTGATGCCAGCAATGTCCCCGACCTGCGCCCTCGGGGACACCACGCAGGCTGGACCGGGACCAAGCCTGTGTCAACCCTTGGGGGGTACTGAGGTGTGGAGAAGCAGATGGAGACAGCAGGTGTCTGAGCGAAGACCCGTGTGCACAGAGAGGGTGAGGCATGCAGGAGAGGATCAGGACCAGGACAGAGACGCCTGTGGACCAGGGCGCAGTGAGGCCCCTTCTGAGGCCTGGGGTGGACAGCTGTATGCGGGTCGCCGTGGGTGACAGCTTCGATTTCAACTGCCGGTGGCTGTGCAGGGTCGTCCTGAAAATACTATGCTCGGTGGAGGCGAGACTGTCGTCGCCCCGTGGATGCTGTCTGGTGTGGCTTGGCTGGTAGAGCCAGGGTCCCCAATGACATGCGTGTGTACGTGTGGAGTTGTCTTCTGAGCCAGTTGTAGCAGCCTCCCAAGAGGTCACTCACTCATGGGGGAGTTGCATGATTGCTTTGGCCACGTCTGTTTTCTAGTCATCTGAGAGTCCTGCAGGAAGAGCTGTCGAGGAGATTGTCTGCCCTGGCAGGAGCCGGAAGCCGGCTGGAGCCGCCGTTGACTGGGGCAAGACTGGCCGATACCCTTCACGCGACTAGGCCGAGACTGGAAGGGCCGTGAATCAGCTCGTAGGCTGCAGTGTTGTAGTCTGTCCCTGATACTGCTAGACGGGTCCCTTCTTACGACAGACCCTCTCCTGTAACTCGCTGCGTGTTGTCAGTCTCTAGACGATTCCTACTCTACTTGAAACCCAGATCTAGTGGTAACAGGCAAGTCGCAGCATTGCCTTTTGGGAGAGAACTAGACGCAGCTCACCCTCCCCTCCTTGTCGGTCCCCATGGAGTATGCCTCCTGACAGCCCTTCCTACTGGATGGTGGACGTGCCCGCTCTTCATCCGTGTTTCCCTGATGGTGCCTGCCCGGGTGGTTCCTTCAAGATTGCCACCGCGGGTCTGAATGGTGGGACGAGATTCAGGGCAGCAGCTGCTCGGCTTCGGTGCTCCTCCAGCGCGAGGCCGGTGGGTGGCTGTGAGGCCTCCGTCCCATGAAGGATAGGAGGGATGGGGATGCTGATCACAGACTGCGGCTGTGATGTTTGCAATTTGCTGCGACGGCCAACGGGCTTAAGAATTGGAGACTGCAGGGGGTTTCTGGTCAGCTGTGCCTTCAGATGCAACCAAAATACCCTCTGTAGCCCTGAAGGAGGAGGAGCGTCTTATCTGGGGCGTGGGTCACTGGAGCTGGATTTCCTGAGGACAGATGTGAGAAGAGCCAGCGCAGTTTGACTCGCTAGCTCAGGAACAGCCAGCTGTCTGAAGCAGGAGGTGGTCGTCTTCATCCTCGTGGCCTTCTTGCTTGCTGGTCAGGCTGTGAACAGCCCCCAGGGTGTGCATCTGCCTTCAGGCTGGCTGAGCCAGAGCTTGATGAGAACTTTCAAAGCCGTGCAGATTCCTATGTTCTCCACTTCGTGTCTGGAAGCCTCTCTCCACCATCATTTGTGACACTCACCTGAGGTAGACATGGGTTTCGAATGTGCACAGCAAACCTGGAAAAGCCCTGTGATCATGGGTGGGGGTGGAGCATCGTGTGAGGTCATGATCCTGTCTTAGGGTTTCTGCCCATCTTCAAGGGCTCTGCTGTTAAACCTGGAATCATTGTGTTTCTTCTCTTTTGTCTTTGTTTTCATTAATTTAAATGGAAAAAAAGAAGCAGGAAAATGGTGGGCTTTTTTTCCTAAAGAAGTAATCAGGCCAGGCGTGGTAGCTCATGCCTGTCATCCCAGCACTTCGGGAGGTGGAGGCGAGAGGATTGCCTAAACCCAGGGGTTCGAGACTGCCTGGGCAACTTGGTGAGCCCTTGTCGCTACAGTAAATCAAAAAATTTAGAAATTGGCCAGGTGTGGTGGCGCACCTATATTCCCAGCAATTTGGGGAGCAGCAGTGAGAGAATTATCTGAGCTCAGGGATTCGAGACCAGCCTGGGCCACTTGGTGAGACCTTGTCTCTACAATAAATCAAAAAATTAGCCGGGCGTGGTGGCACACGCCTGTGGGTCCAGCTACTTGAAAGGCTGCGGCAGGAGATTGCCTGAGCCCAGGAGGCCAAGGCTGCAGTGGCTGTGAGCATGCTACTGCCCTCCAGCCTGGGCGACAGAGTGAGACTCAATTCAAAAAATTTCCTACTCAAAAAAATTTCTACTAAAAAAAAAAAAAAAAAGTAATCAGTGAATCTGTATGAAGATAAGGCCTGGTGTTTATCTCAGCATATATACATGTACACACACACACACACACACACACACACACACACACACACACACACACATAAGCACATGTCATCATAGAAATGGTCCAGCAAGTATTCGTGAGGAGTGTATCTGAGTGTTTTTTGGTATTTGCCTCATTTTGTTTTCTGTAACGAGCACATGTTGCCTTTATAATAAGAAAACAACAAAGTCACGATGAGTAAAAGAACATATTTGGAATAAAAATTAAATTGAGCCAACACGCAGAGTATGTGTTGAACACGTAGCTGTCTTTACGTCTCATGTGATTTCATCAGGCCTTGACCGAATCACGTGGGTGACTGTGTCCTCTGGACAGACTGCCCCCTCAGTACCTGCTCTGTTTTTTCATGGGCATCTCGGTGGACGCCATCTGGGTCTGTACTCCCCCGCCTGACGCCTGCTCCTGGGCCTGGACTGAGACTACTGTTTTCTGAATTAAATTCAACACAAAAGGTGTTGTGGTCGTTTCCTCCTTCGCTGAGCCCTCTCTGTGGTCAGTCCTAAACTTTCTTACATTGACAACTGGAAATGCCAGCCAAACTGTGTACTCCATAAAATAACGTCTGTTTTAACAGTCACTATTTTCTTCTTAGGACAAGGAACACCCAAGATACCTGATCCCAGAACTCTGCAAGCAGTTTTACCAGCTGGGCTGGGTCACTGGGACCGGAGGAGGAATCAGCTTGAAGCATGGGTGAGTGTCCAGCAGATTCCACTGCTGGGAGCTCCTCCTATGCGTGGACCCCTGGGTGCTTGCCGTGCTGTATGCAAGGAACAGCTTCATTCCAAGTGCATGAGGGGACGTTCCCGCAGAGGAGTGGAGGCCATGGGCAGAGGAGCAGGTGTAGAAATAGCTGTGGGGGTCAGAGACACCACTTCTCCCCAGAGCACCAAGCTGAGGACCAGGCCGTGAGTTGCTTGTGTGCCAGGATGAGGAGGGATTCTCTCTAGGTAGACAGAATTTGTCTCAAGTGTTCAGATATGCATTTTAAAGTCAGATAAATACAGGCCATCGATCACTGAAACCCTAAAAGTGTGCCTTGTCAAGTCAGGAGAAAGGCAGTGTGCTTTCTAACACGTTTCTTTACTGCCAGTCACGGCCCCTGCCTAGTTCTCAGCCCTCTGAGGACAGACCTGACTGAAGCAGGAGGAATGAAGAGCATCAGTTGTTCTTTAGACTTACTCCGCATCATTCATTCAAGAGGATGGAGAGTAGCATGAGGATTCGTGTTAGTAAGATGCAGCCTACCAGCAACGAAAGTAAAGACTGGGGTCGTTTCCTCCAAAGGGTTTGGAAGTAGGCTTGTTGGGTGAACTGAAATCGGATGGAGGTTTTTCCTCCTGAAATGTTCTAGGAATATCCTTGTCTGCAGGCTGAGGGTTAGACTAGGAGGTGTTGATTGACTTATTTATTTAGGGTTAGGGTTAGGGTGAGTTATTTACCTAACTCACTTTCTTTAACAAAATGGGAAGACCGAAATATTTACATGCTAATGAGTATACACTGGGGGGACCCAACAAAAACCTGGAATTGATTTATAAAATATGTATTTATTCTTTCATGTTTATACTTCAGTCCCCTTCAAAGTCCTCTCCGTTTGCTGCTTTTTCAACTGCTCAAAACATTTTTTGAGCTCACCAATTTGGATGCCTTTGAGTGCCTCTGCCATCTTTTGTTTCTTCTCTTCCACATCAGCAAAATATGTCCCTTTGAGGACTTTTTAAATCCAGGGAAACAGAAACAAGTCACTTGAGACGAGATTGTGTGAATAGAGAGGGTGGTACATGGGGTCCTGCTGTTTGGGGTCAAAAACTGCTGAACACTCAGTGCAGGGTGGGCAGGTCCACTCGTCAATCACCCATCATGAAGTGGGCAAATGCGTTCAAAGAGTCTCCAAAAGAAAATTCCCCGAAGCCAAGTACAGCCTCTCACAGCGACGCTAACTAGTCCACAGATGCTGATGGGCTCCTAGAACACTCAACTAGCAGGGGAAGCCTGGACTACAAGGGGCCTGCCCTCCAAAAGATAATTCCAGGTGTTTTTGGGTCCTCCTTGTATAGTGACTTCTCCAGGGAGGCACATGGATGTCCGAGACGGAATGACCCATATAATCAGAACATTCTGAACAAAGGGATTTTATGGCATTCCCCAAGATGAGGTCACGGAAATGTCATCTGACGTGAGTGACGGAGTGACCCCAGAGCTTTGACTAAATGGGGCGGCAGGGGGGCCCTCCATCAGGGCTGGCACAACTGCTGATATTAGCGGCGAGTCGGCGGGACCCCATCCCATATGGTAGCTGCTTCGCACACCCATCTACCTGTCCCAGCTGCCCCTGTGGACTCAGAACTCTCAGGCAGGCCCATTCCCAGCAAGCTGCAGGCCCACAGCGCTGAGTCTTGTTTCAGCGGAGGGTGAGTCCCTGACATCTGGTTTCCCAACCACACCATATGTAATATATTGTGTCCTAAGTGTCACCTCTAGCTGACTACTTCTGGTTTGCATGTTTGGAAATTGTGTGGACAAAGCAGAGCTTTCTGCCAAACAGCTAAAAAAAAAAAAATCCCAGCGAAGTTAAAAGTAGGAGAATGCAGAACTCAAGAGGGAATTCTTTTAATCAAAAAGACATAAGCCAGGCTCGGTGGCTCAGCCTTGGGAGACTGAGGTGAGTGGATTGCCCAAGCCCATGGGTTCGAGACCCACCTGGGCAACTTGGTGAGACCTCATCTCTACAAAAAATCAAAAAATTAGCTGGGTGTGGT